CAAAAACACACTTTTGTCTATTTTCCACTATATTTCTTTATTGTTGACCGGTTTCGGCTATTATACCATTTTCAAAACTAACTGATTACATTTAAATCCGAGTAATTTATACCTATATTATTCTAGCATAAATGATTTGATATACCTGATATATCTGATATACCTGATATCCGGTACCTGCGTTTCATATACCTGTAAAATCCATGAACATAACAAAGCTTTCAATATAATGTAGGTTTTGGGATCTGGACTATAGGTTCAGGAGAGGACTATTGTTTAATTCAAGTTGTTCGTTGAGGACAATAGAATTGGGATCTTTCTTTGACCTGTTTATTTCCATAGATTCCAACAGATTCATCATTTTCCCTTTTTCGCATGTATGTAGGATCTTTAAATTATCTTTATCTATTTTATGTTTCGAATTTTGAAGATGTTCGTACATTAATGATGTTTTATCCGAAATGACATGTTCGTGGTACCTTGTATCAAAATTTCTCCCAGTTTGGCCTGTATATATGGCGGGACATTCACCACATTATATTCGATATATACCAGATCTCTTCCCTTTCTCTAATTTAGGTTTGGCATTAAATATAGACAAAAGTGTGTTTTTGTAGTGTATCCTCAGTGAACATGAATTTCCACAAAATGAACATGTCGTCAATCGAAGAAGTGAAACTCAAAAAATAAGTTTATTTAACAATATATGTCGGTCCATCCATTGATTTTTTTCTACAGGCAAAACAGTGCATATCAAATTTCGCCAATAAAAATGCACAGAAGGTTCTGGTAAATGCCTGCGGAATGATGTCCATGAGAAAAGTAATGATCCCTGTAGCCATGAAAAAACTTGTCTCGTTCATTTTTGTGAGGTAGTTTTCCATCAAATTTTTCGACTGAGTCAACTGTTCACTTCAATTTTCCAGGGATGTTCCAAATATTTTTTACTCGGATATGCTGTTAACGTCATCAAGAAACTGCTACCTAGAATGGGAAGCCTAGTAAAAAATCCTTCAAATAATATGGGGATATTTTTCAGTGAATCAAATTTGTACTTCGGGTTATTCATAGGCAGCTATGTGGGATTTTATAGAGTAAGAATATTACATTATACAGAAGAAATGTTTTTTTTTCAATTATTGACATTGAGTCGCTTTAAAAGTCATGGAATTCAATAATTAGAACTGGTATCGACTAGAATAATCCTTCCACACCACATACATACATTAATTCAGTTTGATATTATGTTTTTTATTCATTCCTCCACGGCACTGTCTAAATAATTAGCTGAATAATCAACAAATTCAGAACAATACTCTATAACTGTCAATTGGATGTACGGACAATTATAAATTGCAATCTTTTAACAGTCTTTATAATTGATTCCAAAGAAGAATTGGAAAGTTCTGAATCCACATTGAAAGTGTTTGCAAGTCACAAAATTCTTCCTATCGGCGCAGTCTGGCCATAGTTGGTATAATGAAAGGGTACTTTAAAGATTTTTTATTTCGTGTTCTCTTTGGATTTACATTCGAAGTCATAAGTTCAACAAGTTCCTGGAATTAAGTTAGGTTAGGTCAAAAGTGAGTGCGTCTATTCGACCCTCCACCGCAACCCGCAAAGGTTTATTGTGGCTCACACATACTCACACTCGACCAAACAAACCCAGTTTCTTAACGAAGCCGATTAGTTTGTATGGTGAGTGGTCTTTCAGGTCATATATGATGAGAGTACGGCTCTGCCAAATTCTGAAAACCTGATTCGGTCCCCAGCTCTGCTGTTTCCTCATTTTCCAAACAGAGGCGACACACACACTGTCTTCCGACAGTCTGAGTCTCTGCTTATGATGATTCAAATGACAGTGACCAGTTAGAAGACCAGAGACAATCTGTTAATTTCTGTTTCTGACATTTGCCTGTATTCAGTTGCCTGTATATCACACCAGCGTACAAAGTTACTTAAATCGAACTGTTAATAATTCAGTATCAAATGATTCATGAATAACTTTGCACATCTTCAGATCATCAGCAAATAGAAGGAATTCGCTATAGAGAATAACATGCTTCAAGTCATTTACGAATAGGTTGAAAAGTAATGGTGCTAAATTGTACGCCTGCGGAACACCAGGTAGAACTGAGATTGAGTCTTCCTCAATTGAGTTACCATATTTACATATTTGACTCTTCAAGCAAGACAAATGTTTTGCTGAATACCCAGCAGCAAAGCGTTCAGTTCATGCAACAACAAATTGTGATTTACTCGCTCAAATGCCTTTGAAAAATCTGTCTCAATTTTATGGCAACTTTTGAATCATCACCTTTGAAGCTTCCACTGACATTTCGTATATCATTTTTAGAGAATCAGTGCCACTCAAAAAATGTTTGTCTATGGGAATTTAGAAGGTTCATTCTCTGTTAAGAGAGCATGACTTCTCAAAGAAAAACTTTTCTTCTGAAATGATCCACATAAATGTTGTTTCCAGGTTCTCATATGCTATCTCACCAGGATATCCAACATCAAGAAGACATTTCATGGATTGATTGCTGGACTCTTCTCTGGGCTTACATATGCTATTTCTCCAAACCTACAGGTTCTTGTCATTGCAATCACCACAACATTACAGGTTTGTCAATATTCTTCAATTACGTAATAACACAGTACTTTTCAAATGTAATGAATTAGTGTTGAATGATTCAATAACTAAAGTGCTGATGGGTCGATTTTCGAGATATTTATCAAAATGTATTCGGAGAGGCTGACATAGTTATGTCATATAAACCAGGGGTCTCCAAACTTTGAAGCCTTCGGGCCATAATGATTTTTTCAGTTGGTTCCAAGGGTCAATTTCTGCCCTTAACTATATTTCTAGACTAGGATAGTCGCAAAGTGCGTGACCTAAGCAAACTTACGCTTTTTTTGCATTTCAATTATTATTGTGTATTGTGACATTTAACGACATCTAGTGGCGAGTAGTGGTTATAAACAATTGCAACTTGTTCTTTACTTATGTCATAATTCAACCTGGTCTAATATTTTTTCACGATTCAATAAAAAAATAAAAATTAGTCTCACTGAAATCGGAAGATGTTTTTATGATGATTGGGTTTGAAATAAAATGTGAATGTGAGTGACATTAGCGAACATTTTCTAAATATACCGCTTCCTAATATATCCATTTATCAAGCAAACCTCTTGAATTTTCACATCGATCACTACAACGTAATGTCCTTCAATTCTTCCACTATCAACTCAAAAATATTCTTGGAATATCTGAATGATATCAAGAGTAATGCACTCACAATCGACGGTAAATCTTTCCCTATGATCGACTTTGTTAGCTGTCACCATCTCAGTCATCTAACCTTGATTTTCAATGAGGGCATAACCATCCTTGGGAAAGGTGTTTATGTTGTCCATGTTGAAGTAGAGGAAATATCTCAAGTAAACTCTTGAATGAAAGTATTTATTTTAGACAACTAAACTCACACTTTTATCATGTCGAAATAGTCTCTTAACTGCCTATAAACAAATACAATGTGAACAAAGACAAATTATGAAAATAGTGGTTTGTCAACAGTCCAACCCTTAGAAAAGTGCCCTTCGTCATCAGAATTCTTTGATCTGAGATCGATTGGCTTTCTAAAGTTCCCAAAATGATTCTGAAGAATCAAATAATGGATTATATCGAGGCTGATGGTCTCATTGTCCAGTTTGAATTTCTATGACCTCTCCGAATAACCGCGGATAGTTAAACCCATCAAACTGCCATGTTCCTCAAATGACATATTTTGAGACACCCTGTACACATTGAAGAATCGCACGCTGAAGCGATAAAGCCCCGGTAAACTGTCATGTTTTTTAAATGACGTATTTTGAGACACCCTGTAAACTCCGATGGCAGTCATGTTTTTTCTTTAACGCTGCACTGAATGTCGCCAAGTGTTTTTCTTCAATCCTATTTTTCATTCATTATTATTATACCATTATTTTCATAATTCAACCGCGTTGCTATCTTTCACCTGAATCTCTTCGATACTGTTCCCGCTGTGCGCGATAGCTTCTGATTGGTCGACTGGGTAATGACAAAAAGTGGAGGAGTGGGGGGCTCTGCAGTGAGGCCACCCTACTACGAGAGCAGGTCAGGTATAAAAAACCTGCAGACCAAGGCTGATAAACCCGAAAACATCTTACAATTTGTTATACATCAGCCGTGATAGCCTACAGACCATGATATTTTGTAGAGGTAATGAAATCATTAAAAATTTTGAGATATTTGGTCGAAAATATTTGTTGAGATCGATTTTGAAATATATTTATTACCTGTCGGTATTCACAATGCCAAGGAGACTCAAGTGAAGTATACAATTGTTAGTGTTTCCAGTTGAAAAATAAGTTTCGTAGAACCTGCAGTGTTTACAATCACAACGATGCCAAAGATCATCTCTAATGGTCATTCTGACATCTTCCAAGCCCGCATTTATTTCATTTCTTTGGCTTCACAAGTAACGGACTCATCGCATGTTAACTACATTCTGGGACACCCTGTATAAGACAATGTTTACAGAATACACCCCGTTTTTGTTGCAACTCTTCCATACTATACAATAAGTTATTTTTTTTGTAGATGGTTTACAGTTACATTAGCAAATATTTGAAGATAAACTCTTTCTGGCAGAGCCAGTTGCTATTTATGATTTGTCATGGATATCTCCTGCAGGAAAAATTCTTCTCTCCAAAGACTTGTTCCTCGTATTACGCGAAAATGATAGACGCATGTACCAACAATGTGTAAGTATATCAACTTCTAATAGGTTTTGAGAATTTCATTATTTTTATTAGTTATTCTTGCAAAGCTGTATTCAGAAGCTAATTTCATCAGATTTCATATGAGCATGGGTTTGGCAATGCGTCGTTTCCAAGATAAATATTTTTAATATCCGTTGACACAACTTTAAATGTAACTTGACAAATGCAAACATCGCAAACTACCATTTGTTGATTTGCTAATGCATAGCACACTAATCGTTTTCATCCGCTTTTCGTTTTCATTTTTTTTCCCCGAAAAACATAGTGAGCCACTATCGAGGGATAGTAGTCTCATTTTTAAATGTTTTACTCAACGCAAAGTTGAGAAGAAACGAAAAGAAATTTTTTGTCAACGACACTCCCAAATTTCATTAAAATAGGATGAGGAATTTTCACAATATAAATACAGAAAAATTATAATCCGTCATGGGACGCCTGGCAGATCAATAAAAATATTTTTTGCCCCCGTTGATGATTGTGGGGTGATGAAATATATGTAAAAAATATATAATCGAAATATACATGAGAAATTTCAATGTGGCTTTAATATACCAGTAATTTTAATATACCAAGAGAGTAGATTTTACATTTACTGACCCTTGAGACAGACTAAATATATGCGGGCTTAATGCACAGAAAAATGCAAATTTCAATCATAAAATATAAAAATAGAATTAACTCACTGATGATTTGATAGTGTGTCGTAGTGTAATTTTGCCTTCTTTGCAGAAGGCTGCTCACTTTCACGTTCAAAATCATCACTGACATATTTTATTTTTAATAATTTAACAAAATATTTATTAAGTAAAACACAGGCTATGTATATTGTAGTAAACACAACAATATACACGATAGATATCCAAACTGAGTATGGCGAGAAAGATAGCATAACGACGAACCAGTGGGAAGAAAATCGCACAGTCGCTTGCGCATGAGGATCCATCGCCACGGCGTGCATCGCCACGCCAGCAATCGGTTTTACGTGCGGCTATAGATGTTTCACATGAACAATCTGAAAAATTTTGGAAACAACGTTTGTCCGGATCAATGTTTATTGTATATGTCCAAAGACCCCGTTAATCCTTCGAATAACTGCTTGATACTGAGGTTGCATCGGAAGCACATACATATAAGTAGAAACGTCGTACCCAATTGTGGCCAAAACGCCTAATAATTTATAAGAGTATAGGCTTTCACGACCGGAGTCACAATTGAAGAGAACAAAATCCGGTTTGGAATTCCGAATGGACCTAAAAAACCTACCAACCCAAATTTTGCTCTCTTCAATCTACAAATAATTTTTTATCTACTTTAGGATCCTTCGTTTCCCTAAGTGATATGGAAAATATGTCGTTTGCAAATATAATAACTGATTTTTCAGAAAGTATCCAGTAAAATGAGAATTCATTTCGAAAATTATTAATAGGGTTGTAACTGATTTTTAGGTTATGAATAAGTACTAAAACAGTTTCTCGAATGTTTTTAGTTTCTCTGTCAATTGGTATATACTCAAAATGAATTTTTTTCAGGTACCAGGAGATATATAAAAATTTAATCCGAACCTTTTTACATGAATATTAATAACATATAGTTCATCTTTCCAACCATGGAAGTGATTTTTTGGAAGTATTTTTGCATAACTCTACGTAACTAAGACAATATTAATTGGGAGTTTCATCAAAAGCGAGAAGAGTACGAAAAAAAAACAATAAATAAATAAAGCTTTTTTTGTGATTTTCATTCATTTTCCACCTGATAAATCGAAAGTTCCTAGCTGTGAACATTTTCNGCTTGTCTTCAGATTCAGTATCAATTTGTTTCTCCTCAAGATGCTAACCTTGTTAGCGAAACGCGCGTCGAGTGCAAAAATATCAGTTTGGTGTTAGGGTAATTGATCTCTAGAAAAAGTTTTCAAAAATCGGTTTGCAAAACCGCTCACTACTTTACCTAACCCCACGAACACACGGCACTGATAAAGAAACATTTGAAAGCACGTTTACTAACTATCTGGGCGACTAGGGGCCACAGGCAAGAAATGTTTATGACTGTACTCTTATTTTTATTGCCGTTCCAATTGGGAATGGATAGACTATACCCTTTTTGTCCCACCGTTTATGATATCCTCTGCATAAACTCGAATTGAATGACCCTGTATACTGAAATGTCTTGTAGAAAATGAGACATGTAACCAAATATGTATGGAATGAATTATATTAACTTTAGCACTGTTGAATAAATTATAATACCACATTCGATAATTTGAATTTCTAACAATGAACATGAATATTGATAAATGCGTCTAGGTGTTACGTATACGGGGAAATTATTATTTTCATATTTCAAATTTTTATGTCCATATAGTATAGAATAAAATTTTTGGCGAACGGAAAAGTAATCCTCGTTATGTAGACATATTTTTTTCACACATTCGGCTGATGAGATATTACATATTCACTCACTCAAATTGACTGCCGTGTTTGTCGGTGGTTCAAACCCTAGTCTGAACGATCGATCTTCACTTGCTATCGTCCAACCCGTGTTAGGAATCACACCTTAAAAGGTAAGACCTCGTTAATCCTTAGCTCTCACAAGTTTAAACTTCTGAGGGTTGTCCTTCGTAGGTGTGCGACAGCTGGTTAACGGAAAAATAGATTTTTTAACAGACAGATATTGATAATTTGTCAAATTCCATATTCACATTATTACCATCGTTTCTGAATTCTTCATGTTTTACAGTAACTTCATTCAAGCCTTCCTTTTTTATACAATCTACAGGCACACAGACAGGCAATAGATAGATGGATAGATAGAATTNTATAAGATTTGTTCGATCCTAGACATTTTCATGAAACGTATTCCGCCACTGTTGTGTAAAAGCCATGTTCTACTGAACAACATTATTATGTCGCTACTTTATCTTAAGGCTAAAATCATTCATGAAATGCTCGTTCTTTTCTGAGCAAATCTGATCTCTTGGTATTTTTTGTTCGATGTACGGTTTAATATATACAGTTATAAAAGAAAAGGTAATGAATTCAATATTTCACATTGATTCAACCTAATATTCAATGATAAGCATACCCATTTATCGGTATGTGAATATTCAATAACAAAATGTTATAAAAATATCAATTGTATATAAATCAACATAGTTAAAAGTGTTAACAAGTATTGTTTATTGAATATCCAAACGCACGCCCCTGTAATAATAATAATAATAATATTTATTTTCCATTAGACACAGATAACATGTATTGGAATCATCAAAGTACACATAAAACAATGTCACAAAATTCACATTGTGAGCGACACCGTTGTTATTAAAACAACAACAACAAAATTGAAATGAAATAAAATACACCACAGATACACTTAGGTACATATTAAGAATTGTAAAATTCTTGCAAATTAAAAAAACAATTCTCAATCAAATAATTATTCAACAAGTTACTAAATTTATTGAGGTTTGTTATATTTTTTAAACACCTAGGGAGTTTATTGGAAATAGTAAGACCTACCACTGATGGACAATTTAGCGATGTTTTATACTGACGAAACGGAACATGGAGATCACTTTATTGTCTAGTGTTGTAGGTGATAAAATGACACGAAAGCCTTATAATATTTTGATTGTGATCCGTTTGCCATACAAAAATAGGGTGGAAATGATAAACCACCATAAACCTGCCTATCAGCTGTGGCAAATCATAACAAAGTAACAAAGTTTGGTTTGGGCACTCTGTTGATGTCCCAAGTTTCTTAGTTATTCCAGTACCTTGATTGTGCCATACCACATTAGTATTCAGTTCAACACCCACCAAAACAATACATGCTAGAGAACCTGTCTTCGCAGCATTCGATTCTATTTGGGTTCTATCGGGCTATGCTGACATTTTTTCCAGATCTGAAACCACTTGCTGTCATCGAACAAGAAATAGATAAGCGTGTGCTGTCATTAGCAGAGCAAAATAGTGGATTCGTCGTATTTCCAACAGATCGTTAATGTATATTAAAAAGAGGATTAGAGACAACATGGATTTCCAAACAACAACAGAGTTGATAGAAAGAATAGCTTGTGAGGGACGGTCATTGAGATAACTAGAGGAGCAAGAACAAACAGTCAAACACAGTCAAAGCCTTGGAAATATACCCAAGACTCTTCATGTTTCGCGATTATATCGTTTCTAAGGTGGTAATCAGGTTGGTTGATATTCTTTGTTTCTGAAAACCATAATGAAGATCGTTTATTTGAGATCATGTTCATCAACAGCTTTTCCATGACGTCACTGATGATAAAAACAACTGGTTCATAGTCATCCATAAGATTTCTTTCATCCTATTTAGGTATAGCAGTTTCAATTCTATAACGAATGTTTAAAGAACAAATTTTGTAACTCAATGTCCATATGGTTGAAAATAGTTGTTTTGGATGGCCCTTTTTTCCAGTTTGTATCTAAAGGAAACTTCTATGTATGATATATACATGTTTGAAGATATGTATCTATAAAGAAAGTAATTGAAGAGATTCATCAATAAAGGTGCTATAATGTCGTCTCACCAAGTTTTCAAGACTATGTTCATTAACAGCTTTTTTATGGCGTCACTGATGATGGAAGCAACTGGTTTTCAGTTATTCAGAAGATTTCTTTTATCCGTTTGGATATAGCTTGAATACGAGCAGTCTTCCAAAAAGGATGAAAAACTCCTCAAAAGCGTCCTTAAAATACTTCAATCGCCACTAGTTAATTTTATTTATACGACCGGTTTCGGGTTTAACCACATTATCAAGTATAAAACCAAAATGTGAAATTTGAAAACTTGGTTATATAGGGAGTTTTTAGGTAATATGGAAGGCCAGATAAACGAATTGAATACTGAAGGTTATGAAGGTTATGAATTCAATAGTGGAGACCTACATAAATCGAGATGCTCGTTTAGTGGTATATGTATCTTTCTGGTTTTTAATTGATTTGTTAATTTCCATGGCTTCCAACAGACTCATTTTTCTCTTTATTACAAATGTGTAGGATTCTGAGGTTATCTTTACTTATATTGTGTTTTGATTCTTGAAGATGTTCATACATTGTAGATTTTTTGTCCAAACAGACATGTTCACGGAGCCTTACATCAAATTTTCTACCGGTTTGGCCTGTATATACTGCAAAGCATTCGCCACACTCTATTCTATATAGGTATACCCGATTTTTCAATTCTATCTCGTTTGGGTTAAAGTTCTGCCTAAATTATCATTACTTCTGAAAACTGTTTTATTTAGAGAAGTAATTTTGAATATTTTCCGAAAATTTACCTGAGGAGTTGATGCTACTGTACTTAACTATATCGTGTTCTCTGCAGTTTGGGTATAATTTAGTTTATCTGATTCCTGATTGTTTACTGCAATTTGGTTATTCATTTTTAGTTCATCTTGGAAATTCTTCTAGGTACATAAAGGGATTGCGAAAACTCTGTGTCGACCTAAAAAAGTCGGTGAAGAACCTTGTTGATAGACCCTTTTATAGTTTGGAAAAGTATTTTAGTGAATCCTGTTAACAATATATTCGTAATATATTAGCAACTTATTCTTTGCACTATCACCTTATACATGGTGGTATTTTATCTATACATTTTTAGAACTTTTTTTATATTTACAGTCATACATTTTTGGAACTATTTTATATTTACATTTATACTTCTTCAGTACATTTTCTATACCTATTAACATTGTATTCTTGGACTTTGTAAATAAGATGCAAATCTTCGGACAATAAAGTATATTGTGATTTGATTTGATAAACGCGGATAACTTTTGTGAGAGTAGACCGAAAGAGTCAAATAGAACTGCACAGTTTGTGAACGTGTTTTTCCGGTAGATATCGAATTGAAAAAACCATTATTGACTCTTGAAATATAAAAATCTAAGAAGTTAATCTCCTTGTTTTGTTCGAGTTCAACTGTGAATTTAGTTTTGTTATGCAAACTATTGAGAAAGTTTAAAAATTGATTAATTTGTCTGTTTGAACCATCGAAACCAACCAGTAGATCATCAACATATCTGAACCTTAAAATAGTTTTATTTTCCATTGCTTGAATACGTGTCTCAATACTAACAATCGCGATTTCGTCAATTCCAATTTTTTCCATTTCCCTGTCTCTATGATTTGTTTTCTCCACAAATCAGCGTTTATATTTCGTTCCAATTTTTTTCACATACTTCTATCCCATATGGTTTCTTCATCCTCTCGAATCGTCCAAATCTGTAGATACTATACCTAAGTGGTCATAACCTAAAAGCCAATGATCAATGAGATTCTGATTTCAATGGTCCGACACATTATTGAGTTTTTGAAATTCTTTCTGGAACATAAATTAGGTAAAAACGACACACCCTTGGATTGATTGAGACTTTTCAAGATAACGTTTTTGAAAGCTTCTGGACTAAAACATGAAAGCTTTTGATCTGAAACATTCTGGAATATTCGAGAGGTGATAACGGGCATGAAGGCGAGTGTAAGAAATAGTCAGATACTGTGTGTTATGTGAAAAATTTGTTTTTTTGTGCACTGTTTCACTTAGTGATGGATCCACAAAACATTCACTGCTAATTCACAATGTATATCAGTGTAAAATCCATTCATCGCTTGTTACAATAATGAAATCAAGGTCTGACCAACATATAATTGACCTGCAACCTCAGTGAACGATTGTGAGTAAAAACTGTATGAAGTGT